TTATGTGCTCCTATAATGAAATATAGAAATATTAAGAATAAAAATTCATTAATAATAATCCTCGATTTTTTTTTTGGTGGGACTAAAAACATGGGCACTTAAATTAAGAAACGAGAAAAAAAAAACGTCAAATCTACGCAATTTGGCGCCAAGAGTCTTGATGAATGAATGAGTGAATATTATGGCATTATGTGGTCAGTGGATTTAAGTATAGTATTTGGAGGTATATACATACATAAAAGAAAATATATTAAGTTGTATATATATATATATTGCTGGTCTCCCATGAAGAAATATCAGATACATTACCTCCAACATGGCTAAAATAATGAGGGATTTCTTAACAAACTAGTTAATTAAAACAGACACATAAAACTCTTCAAGAGGAAAATTTTCGTTTCCATTAAATAAGAAAATTATTTGCCAAATTATACATTATATTAGTGTACTCTAATAAGATAAAATTAAACAAAAACAAAAAAATAAAATAAAATAAATAAATGTTTACTTTGTTGTATTTCCCTCATTTTGACACAATGAACAAGTTTCAAAATCAAATATTGAAAATTGAAAAATTATTATAAAAAATTTTATAAATAATACAAGTGTTTCACTGTCTGTCTGTCCGTTTGTCTAAAGTAAATAATAGCTGTGTTATAAAACAGACATACCACATCTAAACTCTGCTACATACATACATATGTATAGAGATTTTAATTTCTTTTAAGCAAAAATTTTGAAAAAAAAAGAACAAGAAAAATAGCTATACATAAATTATAGAGAATATTCTATAAATCTTTCACAGATTGTTTGATTAAATTGGTTCATATGTTCAAATGTCTAATGTTTGAAATGTTTAAACATTTTTTTTTTTTTTTTGATTTTGGGGAGGAAAACAACAAAAACAAACATTTATATTCGTTTTTATAATTATTTTAAAACTAGAATATGTTAAAAGCAGATTTTTTTTACTTTTTGAAAATTAATATTTATTTTTATTAGAAATTTTCTAATAATTTTATTATAAGAAAGGCAATAAAAGAAAATTATATATCACTGCTAATTCCTATACACTTTAAATATAAAAATATACAAATGTTATAAAATATTTTAAATTCAAAACGTCTATTCGGTCGATTTCGTTTTCGTATAGATATTTAATTTCGAAATTAAACCGATTCCACGATTCAGAATAAAACAATTTTATTTAAAAATTCTTTCACATCAATTTTTTTTTTCGATCGGGACCTTTATAAATTGATTTCAATAAACATACGGGCAGACATTTGACTATCGCTAATTGGACCTTGCTATCTATAAGGATTCAAATTATAAATACTTTAGAAGTTATCCTATATGAAAGGTCTTTGAAATATGGTTCTTTTTATATAAGAACTGTCTATCTAAAAATCTTTCCTATTAAGATATATATAAAAATATAGAAAACCTCATAAAGTTTTTTCGGAATTTTGAACATATCTTTGTTGTTTACAGAATGATTAAGGAATTTGATCCTAAAAATATCTGGGACTTTCAGAAAATTGTTTTTAACAAACATACAGACCGACCTACGAACATCGCCAAAACGACTTTATAAGGTTTCAAAATATAAATACTTTAGCAGTTACCCTATATATGAAATGAAAGGTCTTTGAAATATCGTTCTTTTTATATAGGAATCTAAAGATATCTAAAGATATTTCGTATTAAGTTATATACTAAAATATATATGTAAAACCTCATAAGGTTTTTCGAAATTTTAAACACATTTCTGATATTTACAGAATGATTCAGGAATTTGATCCTAAAAATATCTAGGACCTTCAGAAAATGGATCTTAACAAACATACGGACAGATCTACGAACGAAAAATATAAATACTTTAGAAGTTATCCTATGTACATATATATATTTAAAAAAATATTTCTTTATAAGTATACGAATACATTGATCAAGGAATTTCATCCTGAAGATATCGGGGTCCTCAGAAAATCTATTTCAAAATTAAATTTTATTTATAAAACAATCAAATTTCAAAATTTACTGAATAATTATTTTAGTAGCGGAAAATGTGTTTTGTGTGTATTCAAAATTTATACGAAAACTTCATTAAATAGGTTGAATCTATAAACATATACATAAATAAATAACCATATGGCTAATTGTATATACATACAATACATATTATTGTATATACACTATTGGTATGTAAATATTTATAAACATATCTAAAATTAAACATATTACTAAAACAATTAACCATATGGCCATTTATGTAGCTCCCTTAGTAATTACTAATTTCACATTTCGAAAATTAATGTTTATAATTTAAGAAAAAAACAAAAAAATTAATGTGTGATGTTTCTAAACCTTTGAACCTGTAGATAGTTTTACAAATATTTTGTAATAAATTAAGAAAAAAAGATTCTAGTTGATTTGTCTTTTTCCGCTTACTGGCGCTATTATTTAAAGACGACAGGAAAGGGAAAAAGGCGTATAGACTAAGAAGACTTGCATCAATAAAAATGTAATAAAGTACATATGTATGTATATGTATATAAGAAACAAATCAATTAATAATTTCCTTTTAAATATATAAAAGTATAAAATGTTTATATATGTATATGTGTGTATTTCTATATATTAGTTTTAAGTTTGTATACATTATTTTTTTGTTTACATTTGCAATTGTAGTCAATTATATTTTATTGCCTTTTCTGATGCTTATGCCTCAGCTACTGTTGCCTCTAAAGTTGCCAGTGGTGGTGCTAAGTCTGTATATATTTTTTTAATTTTTCTTCTTACGATTTGCTATTACTGATAGATTTTATTGTTGTTGTAGTATTTTACTTTTTTTTCAAAAAAATATATGGCTTAAATATTGGCCAGTTGCCAAGCATTAGCATTAAGAATTGCCGTTGCCCATGTTTCTCTACTTTTCGATATTATAAACGTATGTAGTATTTTATTTTGAATTGTATTGAAACTTGTGGTCTGTTTTATTTCATAAAAAAAATGTTTTCAGTTTTATTATTTTGATTTCGTTTACGAATTTCATAAATTATAAATGCAAACAGAAACAGAACAATTTTTCCAAAAACAATAATCAAAAGAAAAGGAAACAAAAAATTAACCTAAATTACCAGAGCAACTATTGTGAAGGTGTAGAGGAAATTAACTTTAAATAGCTACAAATTAAATTATATGAAATGTATAATGTTTTAGTTTTTAAATTCCTCTATACTGAAGCAACATTTATTTTTGAATTTAATGTAAACAAATTGAACACAAGCAGAAAAAAAAAATTGGAAAATTTCGAAATACATAGTTTATTATTTTTGGAAAAGAACAAAAATGAAATAAAATTTAAATTTACTGGAATTGATTTTTCATATCTTTCAACGCATATAAATAAATTTTGAATTTAGAAAAAAGAATTTGAGATTGTTTATACTGCCAATATTTGCTGGTTTAATATAAAATGATATAATTATTTTCTTTAAATAAGAAAAGAATAAAGACTATTTAAATAATTTGTTTAGAATAAATATTTATATTTTTTGTGCAATAAAAAGTATGCCGGTGAATATTACAATATTAAAAAGTTAACTATTTCAAAACTATGAATCATACTTTTAAAGGTAGATATTTTTAAAATTTCTAAGGTATTCGACTTAAATTTTAAATTTTTGCAAGTAAATCAGAGCAAAGCCGACCTGTTAAATACCCTATAAAGTTTTAAATTTTATAAAAAGCTTTTAAGAAGCTTTTATAATTTTTACAAATTTACTAGATGTCAAGAGTATTTGTTCAATATTTGATTTGAATATCGATAAAACTTTACAATAAAATTTCTAGGTACCGAATTTTATATTATTTTCATATTTCCGAAATATATTGCCCAGAGAAAACGGATTCAACAAATTTCAATAAAACTTTAGTGAAATATTTGCAAATTTTGGACCTATAAACTTATTATAAGAATAAAGGGACCAATTTTCTTAAAACGATAATGTTTGGAGCGAAAAGAGAAAAATGGCTCTGGGGCAGATGTATGCAAATAGATTTCTTGCTTTCATACTTACGAAAGCTCAAGTATTTATAAAAATTATATAAAGAGAAAGATATATATGTAAATAGGTTTTTTGAATCTCTCTATCGATGTCTGCTTAAGATATATATGTATATATAAGTTTTGACCTATTTAATACTGTTACTTTAAAACACTAGGGTATTTACAAAATTCAAACTTTACAATAAAATTTCTAGGTACCGAATTTTATATTATTCTCATATTTCCGAAATATATTGCCCAGAGAAAACGGATTCAACAAATTTCAATAAAACTTTAGTGAAATATTTGCAAATTTTGGACCTATAAACTTATTATAAGAACAAAGGGACCAATTTTCTTACAACGATAATGTTTGGACCGAAAAGAGAAAAATGGCTCTAAGGCAGATGTATGCAAACAGATCTCTTGCTTTCATACTTACGAAAGCTCAAGTATTTATAAAAATTATATAAAGAGAAAGATGTATAAATAGGTTTTTTGAATCTCTCTATCGATGCCTGCTTAAGATATATATACATATATAAGTTTTGACCTATTTAATACTGTTACTTTAAAACACTGTAGGGTATTTACAAAATTCAAATGGTTCATTAACATTATTTATATATTTTATTACGAAAAAACCAGAATGCTAACTTTTGTTTCTTTCTTCCAAAAATTTGAAAAAAATACATATTCAATAAAAATTGTGATTGCGGTTAAATGAGGTTAATGCGGTACATTTACTGAACCTGTGCATGAGTTATTGAATGCATAATGGCGCCGATGAGGCATAATAATACTTAAAATTACAATTTGAATTAAATTAGTAGTAAGGCGACAAACCGGCTCTTAAAAAAACTTTAAAAATACAATGACAGAAAGAATTTATAAGAGCAAAGCAAAAAATCAATAAATTCCTCGTTTTATTACTTTTAATGCGTATAAAACTTGCAGGTCGAGCATGTAAAACAATCAATTAATTTCCAAAGATCATAAGGATAAGTTGTGTTTGAAATAAGTTGAACATCATGTTAAGATCTGTAAGTGTTAAAAAAAAAATAAATAACTAAAACATAAGAAATCAATAACCGGGTTTAATATTACTTTATAAAAAAAGTTATGTTTAGTTGCTTTAATTGTCTGCATCTATGGTGCTCCAGTGGATGATACAGTAAGCTCACCTGATGTAGTGGTACCAAAACTGGGAGCAGTGCAACCAACTTATATCAACTCCAATCCTTTAGTTGTTAACAGCCCACATGTAGCTGATAAACATGAGCAGGAAGTTGTGGGTAAAAAGTTGACTACTAAATCACCTGAAGTTGTGGAAATATTAGAATCCGGTTTAGAGCATCAAACAGATGGTTCTTATAGTTTCCATTATCGTGGTGCCGATGGCAGTTTCCGTGAAGAAACAGCAGTTGTCAAAAATCAGGGTACGGATCATGAGTATTTAGAAATAACCGGAGCTTATTCATTTTTTGATGCCGATGGCAAAGAGGTCGTAGTTCACTATAAAGCCGATGATAAAGGTTTTGTTCCGGTTGGCAATAATATACCCGATGTTATATCTGTAGCCGCCCGCGAAAATAGTCAACTTCCTCCTTTGAAAAAAGTTGACAATGACGATGATGATGAGTAAATTTTGAAATGTTTCTAGGAAAAAAGGAAATACAAAACTGGGCGAAAGATAATTTCGTTTTTAAATTTATAACATTTATTTTAAAATAATTTGGACGATTAACTACAAGGTATTACTATTTTTAATTACGACTCATATTAAAACTGTGCACTGATATATTAAATAATTAAATTTGTTTATTTTTTTTTTAAATAAAAGTATAATAGTATGAGTATAACAGTCCAAAGGATATTTTTCATCATATTTAGTATACATATAAATATAAATTTAAAGAAATTATCGCAAAAATATAATAAATAAAATGAATTCTATTCTTGGAAGAACAAGTTTTTTTTTTTAAATTATTTAAATAATACAAAAAGGTTCTTTACAATAAGATACAATACTTACATACACATATACATACATACGTTTGTCATACATTTGACATTAGGCCAATTAATATTGTTAATTGATTTAAATAGCATTACATCAATCTAAAAAACCTAAAACTAAATAACTATTTATTTAACAGAGTCTTATGGAAATTTCGTTTAATATGGTTCACTTTTGGCCTACACCTAAAGTATTGGCATTACTTATGGATGAACCGTTCAAGGAGGGGGTATTTAAATGTTGACGAAAATTGCAAGTGCCCATGGACTTACGTTCCTTGATGCGTTGCTGGAGGGCCTGTAGAAGACCAGTTAAGACATCATGATTGGGTATCTTTTTGGCAAATAATAATCTCTTAACAGAGTCATCATAAGTCAGGAGAGCCACCATATTTTGTAACAAGAAGCCTTGGCAAAACTCCAATAGTTTAATGGCATTATAGACCTTGAAAGAAAACAAAATTTTTAACTATTTCCCTATTCACTCACACAAAAGTTTCTTACCTTGGCGTGTATATACATGGCCACCACATTATCAATATCAATCATATCGGAACATCTAGATTCTGTATAACGCAATAGGCCCTCCAACTGGAAGAAACTGGCAGCAGCCATTAATTCTAAAACGTCTCCTTTAGAGACCTCCAAACTACTGCAGCCACCGCTATATAAATACTGCATGACCAATTGGAATATATGATAACGTATATCATTGATTTGCACGGTGGGAGTGCTGCCCTCGCTCAGCTTTGAACTAAGCATATTTTGGAAACGTGGCGATGCCGTAACTAATACAATTTTGTGACCATAAAATATTTTACCCTCAACTCTATATAACAAAGAAAAATATTTAAAAATAAGTAAGATCCACTTTTAGCTTTAAACTAACTTACCTAAATGTAACATCACTTAATTCTGGATTATTTACAAATTTCGGATCTATGCGAGAACTGTTTACCGGCTGGGAAACAGGCTCTTTAATAACTTTGATTTGTTGCCAGCCATAACAAGTGGCAAAGATGTCGGCCAGCAACAGTGTGGTGCCTTCATTCTTGCTATAACGGAATATATTAAACAGCAAAGGCAAGCATTCGCTAACAAACTGAACACTATAGTCGTCGGGGCAAACTTGTAAAAAGTCTTGCAGCAATTGATCGATAACAGCATCAAGCCGTATTTCATGAGCGGCCGCTAAAGCATGCATCCAGCAATGCAAAGTCCAAGGCACGCCTAGTGTTCGTAATTCAATCGTAATATCTTCAAAAATCAAAAAAGATTAATTTTACTCCATATTTTGGATTTTTTTTAAACATCTTACCCAAATGATTGTTTTCAGCACTGTGATACATGGCTTCTTGTAGACTCTTAATTTGAGTTTTATTAAGAGTGTTTGCTATCTCACTATTTGCCAAACGATCTGCCACTGTGGTGGCCCGAGCACTGGGACTATCTCCCTCTGCCAACATTTCTTCCAAAGACAAAACATCCTTGGAACCTTGCGATATGGGGGTGGATAAAAGTTTACGCAATACCGCCCGTTGACCATGAGCAGCCGCTACCGAAATAGCACAATAACAACCCCTTTGAGCTGAGCCAGCAAAACTCATTGAATCCTTTTGTTGAGTAGACAGGAAAGCATTTGCTCCATGCACTAACAGCAAAGAGACCACTTCAATATTACCCGAACCGCAGGCCACTTGTAAAGGTGTAAGAGTATGTTTATCTTCACTTTGTCTAGCACCTCCTTCCACCTTACCACCACGTTCTAGCAGGCATCTTAAAGCCAAGTAGTTGGATCTGCTGGCTGCAAAAGTTACCGCCGTCCAATGCTGAGTATCCGGATGAATAGCAGGATAGTTTTGATTACCAATGGCAGGAACTTCTATATTTGGATCGCAGCCTGCATCAAGTAAAGCTTGTATAACCACCTCATCATTTCGTATGCTGGCAATCATTAAAGCTGTCATGCCAGCATGATTGAGGGTGTCATAGCGGGTGGTAGGCGGTAATAAGTTTGAAGCCTGTGCTAACAGTTCAGCTCTTCCGGTTAGCATTAGTTTAAATGCCAAAGCAATCGTAGCACGTTTCCCCAACTCCGAGGTGTCTTCACTTATGCTCATTGGTATGGGTGTAGCCGTGGCCAAGTGTGGAAAGTGTGCTTTCTTTGTAGGCAGTTCCTCGTCATGTGTTACCGAACGCATGGGACAGTCTACTCCTGGTAGCAATAATCTAGCCGCCTGCATTATATCATCTTTGTCCACCATAACTGCACTGCGATATTCTGCATGGGCCGATGCCACTCTCAACCATTCCACCAAAGGAGGCAGCACTACATAGGCTCGTTCATAGCAAAGTTCTTGCACGTTTTGACTACTGTTGGCATTGGAGTTGTTGGCACTAACAGCTCCTTGCTGAGTACCAAATTCACTGTGTTCCAATTGCGAACACCGCATGAAATAGAAAAGAGCAGATAAGGCGGCATTTGATATTGCACAATGCTGAAATTTTTGTTGAGCTCTTAATGTAAGTTCCTTCAGCTCATTGACACTGCCAACACAGGTGGTGAGTAAACAAGGTTCTAAACTTATATTACTGCTGCCGGCTGATGAACCACTTTGATGAGTACCCGATCCCAAAGAAGATTGGCTTGCCCACCTTGGCATTGTTAGGGCACCCGAAGCTATGCGTCCAGCATTTAGATGAGCAAATGGTTGCAGTAAACCCCACATATCTCCCGATATAGATATGGCATGTTCCAGAGCCGCAGCAGTTAATTGAGATGTCGAGTCAGTAGGAAAACATTGCAGCAGAATTTCCTCCAACAGATTCTCAATGCCAGCACAAAGATATACAGCAGCATATTCATGTATAAACTTGCCCAAACGTGAATCCGTCATCCAACGATGAAATCTTCCCACCGACAGCTGAATACCAGCTCTCGAAGATTTACTTTGTTTAAGAGCACTATCCCCGGGAACCGCAAACATGGCTGCCGCTCTCAGGCAAGCTTTAATACAGGAATCGGCCAAAACTGGACAGAGGACAATTTTAAATGCACCTGCAACTTCTTGCTTCGAACATAAGCCAAGATTGGAGGATAAACGTTGTACTTCCCGAGCTATGCGCACAAGAGCTCTTTGCAGTAGATAACCCAAACGTGAAACAGCATCAGGAGAAACACGATCCGCTTGTTCTTTGCAACGACCATCTCGTACCACTTTCATTATGCAATGCTGGCTCCAAGGAGGATGCTGTAACTCGACTAAACGATTGTGAGAGTCGACCCATACAAATTCATCGGCACTGGTTACATTAGTATTCACGGTCTCCAAGGAAGCATAGCGTCCCAAACGTCTTGCTGGTTCTGAACTCTCTGAACCGGCACTGATACTGCTATAGGTGCTGGTACTAGTTTGGGAACGCATGGTAAGCTGTTGTATGGCCAACTTGATGTCTTCCAAACCATTGCCACTCCAGGGTGCTTTGGCTGGCGTCGCTCGATGTCTGGCTCTGGGATGATTGGCTGTAGTGCGTGAACGCGTGCTGCGATTTGTTACCCCGGCAGCTAAACGGTCTTCAGGCAAAGGTCCCAATGCCACACCACCGGGTGAAGAGCTACCATGGCCTCCTGTGTCTGACATGCTGGCATGTCCCGATGAACGATTTTCATCTGAGGAACTATGACACTCTTGTACACGTTCCAAAGCGCGGAATTCATGATGATGAGTGCGTGTAGAATGATTGGGTTTTGTGGAGTTGTTGGGACTATGTTGATAACCAGAATCGATAGGTATTCCAATATTAGCTGAGCTGAAATCCATAGATTTCTCTGAACTCCTCAAAGGTGTACTGGTTTTCAGTTGAGGCTGTTGTTGATTTAGGCTCCCACTTAACATGGGTTGCTGCGATCTGACAGGAGTAGATTGTACTGTGAGTCGAGCAGGTCCTGCTACGGCCCGCTGTGGTATGGGTTTGGTTATATTATTGCAATTTGAAGCCGCAGAGGTGTTAAGTTTCGCTTGAGAATTCTCAAAATATGTTGAACCATTCGAGGAGATATGGGTAGGGGTGGCTGTGGCAATACTATTCCCAACTGTTGTAGGGATCAAGGGTCTTTGAGCCACTTCTTTGGCTATTCTTGGTGCTGGTGTGGCCACAGCTGGATTTTGTATACGTCCCGATGGCGTTGAAGGATTCTGCAGTGCGGAAGCATTCAATGGCGAAATATTGGCACTTGAGTGATTCGGTGTTATCGGCAAACCCGATGTATAGGAAAAGGGAGCAGCAGCATTGTTCTGTTGTGAATTTATATCGGGTCTTATGTTACCAATTGGCCTAAAATAAATCAAGAATCACAACAAACACATTAATAACATTGAAATACCGTTAAAAACAAAACAGTTTTGACCTAAACTAATAACTCTGCTCACTGCTGACAATCAGATACATACTCTTATAAATGATGATATACTATAATATATATTGTTTATTCAAATAAATTATTTTTGTTTCATCTCATCCACAACAACAGCAACAGCACAAGTTTAATAAAAATTCAAACAAAGTTAACTGTTGTTCTAACACTTGACTGACAATCAAAATGAAATTATGTCACTATTTAGTTTGTAAAGCTCTCTAGCACAATTCACACTTAAACTTCAACTCTGGCTCCAGCAGATTCAGTTAAAATACACATCTACTATGTATCTGCATTTGCATATGAATACGTTAAAGAACACAAAAGACGACTGACTGACAGACAGACAAACTACAACTACAAGAAAGATACTGTTAAAA